AATATCAATTTACTAATAATTGTAATAATAATCTTTTTTTTATAGAATATCATTAAAAAATAGAACCAATTATCTCTTATAATTGTTAAATTTAAAATACAACGTAATGTAAAATTATCTATTATGCGAATAATTAATATTATGCATAGTTACATTTGATTAAATAATTTTATACGTGTTCGTTTTTTCGAAAATTATAGCGTTTTATAAACTACAAGGATAAAATTATTCTATGGAATTATAATTGAATACTAATACAAAATGTTATGTGTAAACTGAAATTTGTAAACAAACTAGCACAAATTTATAAATGTTATTTGATAAGTACTTTAAGAAATTTAATAGCACATCATAGTTCATGTGCTTTAATTAAAATAAAAATGTAAATCTAGTTCTTATCAAGATATTCTTGATAAAATTAAAAAAATATTTTGGATTAGTTTGATAAGTAATGTAAATACAATGATATACAGTTTATATATTATATAAAATGGCTATGTTTTACCTACAAAGTTTCATTGTGATATTACAAATAAATTAGAGTTTGTTTTTTATCAATTTTATTGTATTTTTTAATTCAGTAATATTATGGGGACCTTAAGTATAAATTTGCATACTTTGGGATTATATAAATAACAAAAAGCAATAAAATATAATTGATAAATATTTATTGAGTAGAGAAGGATAATAATATACAACATTAACTATATGTTCAAAGTAAAAACCTATAGTATATTGCTATAGAGAACTTGATCAGATTTTTATCTTTACTTAAAAATTAAAATGCTTTGTACAATAAATTTTGTAACTGAATTTAGTATTACAATGCAACTCCCAAAATTATTTAACCAGAAATTAAATATGCCTGCATCATTCGATTACGATCCCACAGTCTCTCTTCTTGTAGCACTCCTCAGTAATTCTTGTTGCTTGGTATCTCATTTTCATGACTTGTTGATTCACCAGTTTATTGTATATCACATGTATCAAATTGTATACATATTGAGTACACTAACTGGCTTGAGAATTCTGTAAGCATATCATCATATAGTATTTTAATTTCTATGTACATACATTTTATCTTACACTTAGTGTAAAATTCTTATTATTAACAATTAAAAAAAGAAAAAAAATATTTTTCTTCATATTTCTCTATAAAGATAAAATATTTGTTTTACATCATAATTTCAAAAAATTTTAAATTATAGACTATATATATTTTTTAATCCTATAATAAATTAAATTATATTAAGCATTATATCCATAAGATATTCATTAGTGACTAATCTAAATAATATATTTCAATATTAGGGTTGAGAATAACTATTTTTATCACATCAATTAAAGATATAAAATACATTACATACTTACACTAGTGAAATATTAAATGTTATCAAGATGATTATCTTGAAATATTAGAAAATATGGCAAATATTGAAACAAATTATATTAAGGAATATTCTTTTATTTTTTAGGTTTAATTTGTATTTTAAAAACTAATTAAATATATCTTAAAATGTATCTATAAATTACATTTCTCTATACCTTTCTTATTAGTAAACTGTAAATTTATGTTTGAAATATATTGTTTATATATATTTTATTATTTGTTGTTCATTCAAGTTTTTGTTTAAGATTGTGGAAACGTTTTATATTATTTAAATTGGTATACTAACTTTTAAAAATTATAATAGATTAAAAATATCCAAATATTTGAAAACTTGAAAAAGATTACAGTTGCTACTCATAAATTAAAACTTCCTATTATTAGTTTACAGTGGAAAAAAATGAAGGGATAATAATTAAAATACGGCAATATAGAATTTAAAATAACAATATTATTTGGACTAATATGTTTAATGCAATCCAATGGCTACTAAAAATTTCCAAACAAAATCCTTTAGACTTAAAAAAAGCATTCTAAAATATACGTGGCATATAGAAACAAAGAAAAATTTTTTAAATATCAAAAGCTGCAATATACAAATTGTGTAATAGAGTGTGTTAATTTAAAAAATTAAAAAAAATTTTGCAAGATAAAAGTCAACATTCACAAAACACACACACTTATGAAAATAACAATTATACTCATTACATATGGATTTAATTATGTATATTATATACAATAATGTAGATAAATAATAGCATATCAGTAAATCTATGTATGATGGTATTATACATACAGTTGTATTTTTTCTTATACTGAATTCAAAATATCAGGATTTTCAGTATAAAAATATAAAAATAAACACACATACACACATGTGCGCACGCACGCACATACACACATCCCAAGATCTTAATTGTTGGTTGCACTAATTATAGGATGCATATTATTGACATATATATGTTGATACATTATTAACATAATCATGTCACACATTATAATCACACATCAACATAATCATGATCAACATAATCATCATACATAATTATGTAAATATATGTATAATGTTAAATAAGTAATAAAGTAATGATAATATTCTAATCACAAATAAAATAACATTACCATGATGTAATAAATTAATAAATTCAACAATTAAGATCTTGACACATTTGCAGTTAAAATAGATAATTTTACACAATATCAAGCATGTCACATTCCAAAATTATTTTATGATGCATTAAGTACTACACTGTAAAAATTAAGAAGAAATTTTATTAGTAGAGAAAATGAGGGAAGGATTGTCTTTATTTACATATACATAATATACGTGAACAGTAAAAGCATTTCTCCTTAAGAAAAGAAAAAAATTATATAAAATGTAGAAATTTTATATTTTCAAGTGTATTATTAATTTACACAAACATTATTAGCAGACGTTGAAATTAAAATACAGAAAGCAAATATTATTTTATTAATTTAAATTAATTAAATTTATTAATATGTCTCTAGATATAATTTTGAAACAATAGGATCTTTTATCTGTATCAATTGTATTTTTAATCTTGTAAATTAAATTATGTAGTATGTGTAATTATATTGAAATACTAACAACAATTATGATTGAGATCAGTAATCGGAGAATTCAACTTGAACTGCAGGAAAGGACTTGAATATTGTTGAAACGTAATCTGAAGAATGAAAATGGGATGTGAAAGGATTATGCAACAAAACAATCAATTTGATAAAGATGTTTAAAGAAATTATTCTTTTGTTTTAATTGAAAATTTAAAAATTGGACATAGGGTAATAGGCATTATGTAATTTAGAATATTAATATGCAAATTAAGAAATTTACAATTACTTGAAAAGAAAACATAATTCAGGTACACACATTGAAGAAACTTTGTTTTTGTTTATTCTGTACACCATGTAATATTTATAAAATAATTTTTTTTTAAGTAAATAATGTATAGAAATTACTATGTCATTGTAAAATTATTATGCAAGCATATTCAATGAAATTCTTCGAAAATAAAATTTAAGAGACACACAAAAGAAAAATTACAATAAGTACATACAAAACAAAAAATAAAGAGCTACTACTTTTCAAATCTTATAAATGCATATATTTTTTATCATTTCTGTTAACTAATAGCCCCATTCCGGATAGTACTGATATCTACAATATTTTAAGTACAAAATGCAAAATACATGTATTATTTAAGAATGAATAAATAATTATTAGCGTTGTTGTCTAAATCTTATGAAATTACGAAATTAATAAGGATCATGCCCAAAATAGAAATTACAGAACCAGGGCTACTAGTAAAAAGTAGAAGAAACACATGTTAAAAATGTATTTTGGATTTATTTTCATAACCATTGTTATCATTATCACGACTATACTATTACTTTTGTTATTACTAATATTCGAGTATATTCAATAAAAGAGTAATAATAAATTTATACTTGCATGTATCAAAACGAATAATGTACTTTACTTTTTAATTAAAAGTACACAGGAATTTTGATAATAATTTTGATAATAAGTTTTTGCGTTTTAATTTTTCTTTTAATTATAAACATATTTTAGTAGTATGAATATGTAATATCTAAGGCAAGATAGTTTAATTAAGTGTTATTTAACTATCTTGTAAGTTTTATTTTGAATTATTTATAGACGAATAATGTTGTATATTTTCAATATTTCGTCAGAAGTTCATAACGAATAATTAACATTTTCAAAAATATGTAAAATGAAAATTATTATATGAGCAAACTCTATAAAGTAAATGATTTAAGATATCAGTAAAACATATTACTACCTTTATACACTCCATACTTCATTATTAGTAAAAATAGAGGAGATAACTCTATGCAGGGAACTTGTTACTTATTTTAATATATTACTTTAAAACGATAATAGACTGTTAACGTTAGTTAATTTCAGGACCTTTTTTAACCAGGAACGGTAATATATACTTTGGTATATGTATGCTAGATTTATATACTTGAGGATGGCCTTGACAGATAGTTTCTGTTACATATATTTTTGGAGATACAAAATTAATCACATAACAAGACACAAAAATAAATATATGATTACCTGATATATGTGGTTTCATTAACCAGTTAAGTCTCTGTGTACAAATACATTTAATGTCTTCAGAAATCAATAAGGTGCTATTCTTGTAATATATCTTAAGTACTATACTTACTTGTCCATCATTATGTTTATATGATGAATATTGAAACCTGTATCTTAATTGATTTCTATATTCTCTCTTTACTTATAAATTACTTATGAAATATTGATTTTTTATAATTAAAATTATTTTTTTACTCAATCATAGAATTTTACTTGTGATGAAATCAAATAATGAAATAATTTGAGATAAAGTCGATTATTTAAATTTAGATACAAATAATGTAATTTCGAATGTAATTTTCGTCTTAAGAAACTAAAATCAAGGCCTCCTTACTACATTTCTACTGCTCGATTTTTAGAACGATTTAAATAAAATATTGATACACAATTTCCTGAACATAATTTTTATGTATATACACAGCATTGATATTTCTAAAACTAAACGATCAGTTTTTCTACTCTTCTAGCGCGTGACAAAGTTTGAGACATCTTCAAATATAGAATGAACAGCTATATAAATATACTTAAAATTTATTAAGGAAGAGCATGAAAAACTGACCTAAGAAGTAATTGTTCTGAGCGTAAGTTCTCTAGAGCTACAAAAATATATAATCGTTTATAGTAATATTATGCAGCAACATAGCAAGAGGATATGATATAAATATTCTACCCAGGATTAATTTTAATGGAAAACTAGATTTGTGAAATAATTTAAATCTACGAAAAGAAAATTAAAGGTGAATTGTTTAATACAGAAGTTGATTAATTTAAAATATATTAAAATAAAGTAAGTGATTTATAAGTATTATTATAGCAACATTATTCACACTAATTTTCACATTATCTAGTTTTTCATAGAATATAGGTATATTTGTATATATTCTCGGTAGAATACTTTTAAATCCTCTGCTTATAACTGTAATATAAACATTTTTACTCCTTGGATGAAGGATTTATAAAATCCAACAATAGATAGTGATAATTATGAGAACCACTAATACCAATATTAATTAGAATCAGCTGTAGGATGTACTTTGAGTTCACTTTCCGCGTTTTCCGAAATTCCATAGTGAAATATATTAAGATATATTTCTTAATGTTTAAATGTTGTAGAATAACAACATTTTTTAATTAATTTACAATCCACAATATCTTTTTGCAAAAGGATGGTAATATAAAACAAATTTTTTTACCTTTTCATATTATTAGTTAATTTCATGTTACTTGAATTGCAAACTAAACGTTTTAACTGATAAATAATTCTAATAAATAATTCCAAAAGCAAAATTAATATTTCTCATCATTATTGGATATCTAAAATTATTTAGAAATTTAAAAAATGAATTGTGTATTTATCTTTTTGAATGGGTGAGTGTATAATAGTTCAGGATTTTTAAATGTAGTTTTAAACTCTAATTTATTTTTACCAACAATAACGCACTGCAAGAATGTAAGATCTGCACATGTTTAGTAGCAGACTTAATTTAAGATTTACTTTATAATATACCAGTATACTTTTCTTGCAAGTTAAAAATGAATCTCTTTTTACATTAGATGAGATCAGTAAAATAAAGATATTTCTGATAGCATCTGCATCGTTATATGATTATGGAACATGATTGATGATGTCTAATGATTACAGTTGTACATTTGATGCAGTATACAAAAAAAGGTTAGTTATATCGAAAGGAAATCGTATCCAAGACTTACACTATCTGCTCGGTTGGGACAAACTTCTCGAAACACTTGTTCAATAAAAGGTTGCCTAAAAAGAAAGAAATTTTTATATTACAATTTTAATTAATACATATTAATATTTTAGTAAAATTGTATAGACTATAAATAATTTTATCCTGTTTTTTATTTTATTTTATTTAATCAGCATTGAATTCCAAAACAATAAACACTAAAAGGGGAGAATTCAAATTTTGGAGCTAAGCCAAATATAACATTCCTATATTCCTTTTAATTTCAGAAACTATGACCTTAATATAATTTTATATCTAACTTATCAACTAATAGAAAATATGATGAAATAAAAACTTAATAATTCATAAATATACATACTTAGCGGAAAGTCCACCACCAGGAGGAAGATTAGGAAATTCTTGGTCCACAAGAAGTTGTAATAGTTGCAAAAAATCAAATTCATTTTTGTCCTTTTGTACAGCAACGATTTCTATGAATATAATAACAAAATTAAATTGTTTTTATTAAGGATGCTTATATCTTAAATATTATCTCTACTATTATTAGAGTGCATTGTGCATGTACTATTAGATTTGTGCAAAAAACATTTGATCAATATTATTTAAAAAATCAGATGCATCTTGTAGTATCTGATATATATTTTTAAAAATGTTATTTGTTTATTGTGTCACTTTAGTGTTTTATGGAACAGTATTATTGAAACAAAAAGATAAACACAACAAAATAACTATGCATGCTATGCACTAAAATTCATGCATCTACTTAGGACTGGAAAACTTAGTGCCTTGGTACATTTCTTATGGAAATTCTGGATACAAAGTCCGGTCTTAAGTAGACACATTAGTATCTATATTTATGTATAAATAAACATGGTTTTAACAACCTTTTTAAATTTATCCACCATTGGAATTGTATAATCTTATGTAATACACACTCATATATATACATACATACATACATACATACATACATACATATACACACAGATATATATGTCTGTTGTAATGTTCCTCCATAAGAAATGCATTATTAAAAAATAAAATTTCAATAGGTAAAGTATTTCTAAATTTTCAGAAGGAAATGTTCACCTACCTGTGATATCACTTAAATATATTTGAAAAGAGGAACAAACAACTTTTGAATACAAATTTTACTTACAAAAAAGTTTAAAAGAATACCAACTCCAAGGGTGGAATGCATTTTTAAGTAAAATTAATAATTGATGTTAAAAGAGTTTAATCAAAGGAGAAACAATTAATACAATTTGACAGCACACACAGAGAGAGAAAACTAACATTATATATAAACAACTATCAATGTATCTTGCTATCTGTTTAACAGTTGAAGCAAGAAACGCAATATCATTAGTACTCTAATATAATACTCTATTACTGTATTATAATACATACTCTATGTATATACTCTATTTGCTTTAACAATATTTCAATAAACGTTAAAACGAAAGTTATATTAAATGTTTTTTGTGTTTACAAATATTCTAGATATTTTGAATTTACAAAAAACATTTCACTAATCTACTCTACACAAACTTTTATAATTGCAACAAATGGTTGATTTTTATCATGTGTTCTCATAAATATAACGAAATACAATTTGCACAAATCACTAAATGAATATTAAGAAAATTCGAATTTACATTAGATGAGAAGTATTTGTAAAACATGGACTTTAACTATGTCTATTTAACAACAGAAATAAATTTCTGTAGATGTAAATTTCGACCTTCTACCTGGATATTACTTATTCTTTTTTCAAAAGTCTTTTATATTATACACATATAATTAATCATAAAGTATCAATAATTAAAATTTGTCCAATTATTTTAGTGGTATCGCACATAATTTATAAAATTACTAATGTTACATTTTTGTAATAACTTTACATGCTAAATTATATATTCAATGATTATGAATATTAAATTTCTAGAGAATAATGTTATATATAACATGAAAATACATCCATAAGAATAAATTTTCAACATTTCTTAATGGAAATATGTAAGTATGTATATATGCACATATCTCTTAAGAAAATTAGAGATAGATATACGACAAAATACATGATATTTACTAGAAATATATTTTCATTAACATATATATGAAATAAATCATTAATTCATTAAAATACTATTGCATTATAGTAAATGGTAATTTATCCAAAAAGAAAAAATTTTGATAATGCATCAGATATTGAAATCTATAGAAATATTTGCTTATATAATATATTCTGATTTTAAGTTAATATATTTTAGGTATCAAATAAGATATTTCTATATTTTTAAAGAAAAATGAAAATCCAAATTTGATTTCCAAACTTGTAAGAAATACGAGTTTGATATAGATTCTTACTTGTAAATGTTATACCACTATAATGATTGTATTTTGAATTGTACTAAAATTTGATTATTAGATAATGGTATTAAGTGTTGCTCTCCATTTGAGAGCTACCAGAATGTCAAGTATGTGTGTGATATTGTGATTTTGTATTAATGCAACAGCAGAGAGAATATAATTGATTGGAATATGGAAATGTTAATGAACCTTTGATTCTCCTTTCAATGTCCATTTCAAGCTCAGCTTCTTTTTTCTGTGCTTCTGGATTTGGTTTTGGAGCAGCAGGAAATGTCACCAAAACTATGCTCATATTATCTCTGCTACCCTGCAACAAAGAAAGCACTTGTAACAAATAAAATTGAAAAAATATATTTGACTGCTTAATAAAAATATAAAAAAACATTAAATTTGATAAATATCTTTTTGTAAATTTGTTCTTTATCAAACATATGAAATGTTAATAAAACATATTTTTAATGTATGAAAACATATTAGTAATCACATATATATTTGCAGCTATTCAATAAGTATATAAAAGAAATATAAACAAAATTAGTAACATAAGAAATAAAAATATAAGACAATAGAAATAGAATGTTATCTAAAGCTTAAAAGTTATAACATATTATTATTAATTAATGTTTAATACCATTAAGTATCATAGATTGAAAATTATAGATTGAGTTTTGAAATAAATAAAAGAATATAAAAATGCGTACATTTTAAAATATAGTATCTAAAGCTTAAAAGTTATAACATATTATTATTAATTAATATTTAATAGCATTAAGTATCATAGATTGAAAACTATAGATTGAGTTTTGAAATAAATAAAAGAATATAAAAATGCGTACATTTTAAAATGTAGTATCAGTATCTTTAACATTAAAAATAATTTATGTTGACACACCTTTAGTAGCAAGAAATTCATTATAAAATATACACGAAAAGTTTTAGACATCATTACCTTATATAGACAGGTGTCTATAACCTGGTTCGTAACTGCTTCTAGATCATCTGTAAGCAGCAGCCTTGAATGTATAAAATTACACAGATCTGTGTTGTTCATTACATCCCAAATACCATCACATGCTAAAACTAGAAATTCATCGTGTTCATCATCTCGATCTCGAACAAATATTTCTGGTTCTGGAGACACTAACTGTTCACATGGCCCTCGATCTTTCAAATTTTTGTACTCATAATCTCCCAATGCACGAGATACAGCTAAAGCTCCATTAACTCTTTGAATCATTACACTACCACCAGCATTTTGAATTCTTTCTTTCTCAGCAGGTAAACCTGGTTTGTGATCTCGTGTTGAAAAAACTGGATCTCCTGCTCGGCAAAGTACAGCTCTAGAATCGCCACAATTGGCAATGTATATGTTTCTGGGAGATATAAATGCACAAACAGCTGTAGAACCAGATTTTTCAGTACCAGAACTCATTTCTGGTAATTCTCTCATTTCATCGTCAAGTCGAAGAAAGCCAGAATGAATTCCTTTGGTTACATTTTCTGCTTTAAATTCTTCTGTTTGCATGATACACTCTAACAAGTGCTCTGCACTATGAGCTGATACTAATGCACCAGCATGACCGTCAAATACTGCAAAATAACTCCAATCCGAGAGACCACCTTTTAAACCAGTTATTGCTCTATGAGCATCTTCCATTTCCATTCTCCAACCCTGCATGCTGGCAACACCATAATGTAATCCATTGCCAGAGCCATGTTCATTATATTTATCTGTTTTTGGAGTATCCAAAAGTGCCCCCATAGTATTTATTTAGTAATTGCTGTGTCAGCTCGATTAATTTATTTTTCTCTTTAAATATTATTTGATCAGCATCTTTTAACTGATCATTCAAATAACACTTTTCTGAGTTTTACCTAAAATTATAAAAATAGAAAAGGTAGAAAAATCTTAATTTTTAGTACAAAATTGAAATCAAATATAATAATATAAAAATATTGCTTCTAAATTCGAATTTAAATCGAAATCTGAATAACAATATCACGTTTAGCTTATATATATGTATTTATTTATGTGTATGTATTACACTATTACTTAGAATTTTGTCTCAATTATCGTTTTGTAACAGAAGTTTATTGCGATACTATTTCGTTTTATGGCTATAATTTTAATTTAAAAGGAGAAAAAAGGGCAATTAAAACACAACATCGTTGTAATACCGAACGTAACGTACGAGATAATCTCGACATGCAAATATTTCAAACGAAACACGATAACGTTTTACGTAAATGGAAACATTCGAATTACGTGCAATTACGTTCACTATATAATTATTACGGTAGCTTCGTCAATAATAAATAAATTATTTGAATACAGGAATGGAAAATCTCGGAAGCGTAAGCTGTATTAGATTCTAATAAGAAACTATTTAGCAGTGCCAAATTTCGCGACTAAAATAGTTTATACCTCAGTCTGCATGTTCGCGAAACTTACGTAGGGAGATCGTGACCAAATATCATCGTTACTTTGCGAAAGTATATATGTGTAGAGCGTGGTATTGCTAATAGACTTGTTTCATATCACTATCACCATGTTCTTTTGCTAGGCTCAACACACAGAACCAACGAAATCGACTTGCATGAATGACGGATATACACTAGGTAATTTTCTGCGCATGCGTTGGTTATTAATAGCATGTTTCATGGCGTCATAATCCGCCAATCAAAAGCCCACGATTTCCGCTCAAGCCTGGGCAATCATACAGGATTCTGAAGTAAAATTAACTCGCGCGCGATACTGGCATTAACTCTCACTAACAAGTACATAAACAACAACATCAAGTTCTTGTCGATGATAAATTGTACTGTCATTGATTACTGCGTTTATCAAAATTGTTATAGTCAGTAAGCGTAGTTTGTTTAAATTTCGAAAATATTTGTGAATATAATATAGTACTTTATTTCTTTAAATATATTTTGGCGAACTTTTGTTGATTATATTATAATATGAATTATTTAATGTATAAAAAGTTGTTTTGTAATAATATTCATAATTTTATTAATAGATATATAACGCTATTTTTTATTATATGCAGATTTTGTTTTTCCTAAATGATTGTTTTTTTATGAATTTTTTGTATGATTATTGTTTCTCCACATAGATTAATTACTTGAACTTGTTCGTTTTCTTTGTTATTTGTAAACAGCATATTAGATGCTATATTCACAAAGTGTTACGAGATATGATCTTGTAATTCGCGCAATAAAAATGGCGGGCAATAGAAATATTTTAATCTAGTCTTATTACATAAAAAAATTGACAAATTAGAAAATAGTGTAAAAAAATATTGTATTACGGTCATAATTATATAATTTAATCATTTCGAATAAATCCTTTATCTTAAACATTTTAATATACTTTAAAAAATTATTATAAGCATTATACTGAACATACATAGTATATATACATATCTATATCTAATAACAAGAATATTAGTAAATATGAACCACTTTCGTGGCAGATATAAACTAATTTAAACGTATAATACATAATATGCATTTAAATTCATTCTTTTTATATTTGAATTTGTTTTTTATACTGTTATTTTAACGCATATCCTAATACATAGGATGTTTCCCTTGCTAGAGGCCTCAAAAGGAAATGTCGTCATTGGCCTGATCACTGCATGTTTGCATACATGAGAATTGGAAATAAGAATGTGAAAATAAGAACGATTTCAAATGAAACATATATACACAACACAGATAATATCGGTTTTCGATGTCGCAATAATATCAGGTCGACGGTTTCTGCTTTGGGATTTCTAGTGAAACTCATCTTGCATAATCATTATGCAAATAGTAAGTACCTAAACATTTAAAAATATAATGAAATATATTTTTTACATATTTATAATGATAATTCTTACTTATATATAAGTAAGGACTGTAAATGCAAATACAAAGTACGTATTTTTATAAAAGCAATTTAATCCATTACCATCATGACATAAAAAATAATTTTCTTAAAGAAAAAATTATTTGTGCTCCTAAAATAAATAAAATTAAATAAACTGATGAAAGTATTCCTATGTGTTTTATATACATAATAAGCAATTTGCATCTAACTATTTTATATTTGCCACAAAACCAAGATCCCTAGGAATCATATATTGTTTTACTATTTCATCTGTTAATTTATTCCTAGCTTCCTGATGTGCAGCTACCAAAGGCTGTAACACTTCAATTAATTCTTTTTTAAGTTCTCCTGTTAAAATTTCTCCACTAATATAACCCTGAAAGTTTATATATTATTATATACATATATATATATTCTTATATTTATTAATACTAAGGAACACATTTCAATTTTTACTAAACTTACTTTTCTAAGTTGTTCTAATTTTTCGTCATCCTCTAGGAAGAATCGTAACCACTGATATGATATATCGATATCACAATTGCCTCCTAATTGTCTGTGTTCTTCAATAGTAGCTTGTCCTCCTGAGAATGCATGCTTGTTAATTTTATTCTTTATTTGTTTAGCAGTGTCTGTCAAAAATATTGCAGTATTGTTATCACTAGCTGACATTTTTGTTTTAGAGCCTTGTAAAGCTGGAAAGAATATAGAATGTAACAGCGCTGGTTTTGGATAGCCAATTTTTGGTGCAACATCTCTTGTCATTCTAAAGTAGGGATCTTGATCTATAGCACATGGTATTAAACAATTAACTTTTGCATCCTTAAAAATAAAGGGAAAAGTTCCAGAAATTGCTGGAGCAGCTTGAGTTGGCGGAAATGAGATTTTTCCAATAGGATCACTGTCTCCAAATCCAAAAATGCCTTTCACTTGATTAAATGTAACACTTCTTTGTATTCTGATCATATTCTGATAAAATGCAGGATTATTTCCAATATGTTCTAAATTAGAAAAAATAAATGTATTCTCTGGTTTAAATCCAAGAGCAATAATGTCTTTTGCATTATTATAGGCCAATTTAATCGCATCTTCTATTTTTATGTTCTTCCATATTGCTTTCTCATCATCAGTTAGTTGTATGACTAATGGAACACGGAATACTTCTTGAAGCCATTTACAAAACATAAATGGTATAAGATGTCCTAAGTGTATAGAATCTGAACTGGGTCCTCTACCAGTATAAAGGTAAAAAGGTTTTCCTTGTTCATAAAGATTCAAGATAGTATTCATATCTCGATGAGAGAAGAATATTCCTCTTCTAAGAAAATGATGTGGTTTCTGTCCTGTGATTTTCTCAAATCTCGCTAATAATTCTTCATCGATTTTGGAACTTCCAAATCTTTCTATAATAACAGAGAGAAATCTTCTGAAAAAGTGAAATTATAAGCTAATGTGTATATTCACATATGCATGTTATCTTTGTCCTCTTTCAAAAAATGGGAAGGATTTATAATCTATGAAACGAAGATAATAAAGCAACAGTATATCATTTTATTTTATGTGATAAAAATACTTTTCAAAGATTTTTATGAAAGATATTTTCTATGGAACTCACTAATAAGCTTATCATAATCAATTCCAGTCTCGTTTTTAGTTGCAACATTCCAAGGTGTCACAATATCCTCCTCATCCGCTTTCCCATTTAACGTTGACGTGTCAATTTCAATTTCTTTCGCTGTCATTTTTCTTTATATTTAATTATTTTCCGACTTTTAAGTGCGATCGTGCAAAGATTCTTAGGAGAAAGATATATCATATGCAACGCAGAGTTGGTTACAAATCAACAGGGTTATGTCGGTCTCCGCATGCTATGTTTCCTGCGCACGCATTTGTACATTCAAGGTAAGAAATTTCAGTAATTTTTTTTTGCAGTTGCATCATATACAGTTGATTACAAGTATTATATTTGTTAATTTTTTATTAAAATATATTTAAATTTAATTATAATTGTTTTTGTGAGGTTCGAATTATCTAACAAATTATCTGTCAATATAGTAAGTGTGATATTATATTTTGAACTATGTATTTGAAATACTAACGTCATCTCACGGTGATAAATTCAAGTAAATAATGATCTGCTTTATTATTAAATCATTTAATATATATAATGTTTTCTATTGAAATTAGCTATTAGTTATAATCTACATAAAAACTTCGAGTTTACAATTATTTTATTATTTCAATATACAATTAAACTCTAGGATAACTTGTTACTTCTAGTGAGTCTTGTCTAGTTAATGTATTATATCTTTTGGATATATACAAAAACATATGTATTATGTTATATTGCGAATTATAATAAATCTAAAACAAATCATAGCGTTAGCTTTTGTAACTTTTCTGTTTAAAATTATCTGAAAATTAATTTTATTCTAAAATATGTAAATATAAATAATAATTTGACGATAATGTGTTACAGATGTTTATGGGTAAAATGAATGTTATAGGACGCAAATTTGTTGTTAACAACTGGAAAATATAGTAACGTATATTCTTTTCATCAGTTTCATGTAAATTTGCAATTTGTGATTTTGTTTTTTATTTGGATATTTCGGTATTTACAAAGAACGATAAAATGTTTTTTCATAAAAATATATCAGTGCCTCTCATTTTGATAAATGTTCTTTTATTTGTACAGAACTTCCAGTATGTATTATAGAGCGATATTAATCTATAACTTAAAATCAAGCATACAAGAATGAATCAAGATTTTCATTCGTTTGTTCCTCCATGATTTATACAAATGGAAGACATTTCATAGAACGAATCGTCGGTAAGGAACTAAAACTATGAAATCTGTTTTTACTACTGTACGTATAATTAAAAAATTGATTGTACATCGTTTGCAGTCGTTAACACAGTGAAGCGTTAGCGTTTACTTTTAGAGATTTCTTTGCATTGTATTAAAAGGAAAATTTTAATTCAGATATCCGCGAGACAGGTAGTAAATCATATTTTACAACTTTCCATATAATATGATGTGAAATTTGTTGAGAATGTAATAAATTCAGCTATACAGGACACTTAAAAATATGCCGATGAGCATAAGATGCAAATAGAACTCGTAGAAACGAAATACGAAGAATTTATGAATCATAAAATCATGTTTTTTAATAGAATTATTAGTATGTTCGTATCTATTTTACAAATATATATTACTCAAAACAATTAGAGCATTGCGTTTTTATAATATCTTTAGTCATATTTTTATCGAATGTCCAATGTATATGCTATTGAATTTTTGTTCTAAAAAAACAAGTATCATTAAATAGTAAAGTCATTTCACGAGGTAATTCCTTAATTGTTTTGAGTTATTATAAGCTACTGAAAATGGTGAACATTTATCCAAAATATGTAATTTTCAAAATTCACTTCTGTCAACGATCTCTTCCAAGTTTTCTAGGATGTCCTCATGAAGTTAAACTCATACTGTTAAATTGGTTTCCATTTGCGAAATATCTTTACTATTACACACATCTGTATTATTCATTGAACTGAAAAATAGGGTGTTTCTATATGATCGATAGTATGTATAGGTAATATTTGTGCGCACATATACTTAAGCGAGCGCAGGGGAGAATCTGTTTTAAAAAATATCCCAGATGTATGACAAAAATAACTTTGTCTCACGAAGAATCTTCTTGTGAACTTATATGTATATAAAAGTAGTTTCGATATTTCATTGGCATTGTGAATAGTTGAGAGGACGATCTAAGTCCCGAGATAGTTTTCTTCTTTTCTTTTTTTGAAATCCGAACTAGTGAAGCGACTTTTTATGGCGACGCGATATAAAAATTAGATTTCGATAGAGATACTCATAGATCAATTCAAATGTCAGACCATCAGATTATGTGATTAACACCAGACATTATAAAAAAACTGAATCGATTATGTAGATGATGTCTTATTGTATAATTACAAGCTACTAAGTCGAGGGCTGACGACATCCATATTAGAGTTCGTATATTGAAAATTTTTGGTCCTTACGTTTTCTCTACTGTACAATACTCTTAAATAAATTACATTGGATCTAAGATGATTCTTGCTTTCTGCTTTATCTTTTCTCGCGTAAACAGTGAAACAACGATTTTTTCACGTTACTTTCTCTTTACTAAAACGCTAAACTATCTACATTCTCTGAGCATTCTTACAGAGGATCATTTTATCGTGTATTTGCCTCTAAAATGCCGACAATCAGGTTGCTTAGAATTTTGTGAGGATCGGTACGAGGTTGATTTAAATTTCATATAATACATAACGGTACGTTTCATCATCTTAAACTGTTAGTCATGTGTGTTAAATTAATTAAAATTGGATATGATTAAGTAACTAGTCGAAAGAGAAAATGGAAGTATGAAGTGGAACTTAAATATGGTATAAGTGAGACAGATCTTATTGGCTGCGCAAAAACAAACGTTATCCATCGATATTTCGCCAGAAAAACTTTTGTTCGCTTGCAAATTTTTAATCAGGTACATACATAAACGGTAATTGTAGTTCACTGTCTTCGTTTACTTGTTCTAGGAAAGAGGAAAGGTTTGTAAATCTTGCGCAATCCGCTTGGCACAGTATTTTGGGTAACGTTTGAACAACGCTGAAATATGTTTAAGCATTGGCCAAGTCAACCGCCATTAGCGAGGCAAAATCTGATAAATATAATCAATATGACGTACGTTTTAAAGGGTATCTATAAATACAAATCGAACCGTCGTTGCTTTTCCAATAGCGATCTCGCTTTATCAGTAGATGATTAATTTAATCAATTATACATTATTCGTTAATGTTCCTCCTTTGACATTTTGCGCTTTGAATTTTTTTATTTATATTAACATAAGTATGTCAATGTGAATCGTGTAATATATTACAAATTTATATAACGAATTTAATCCTAAGACTCCTTAGATTAAAGTCAGATAAAATTATTCGGTGCAGTTTTTCAATAAATTAATAAGTTTTCGTTTCCTTGAAGCATTCTGTCCAAACGATTATTGTAACTATTCTTAGGAGTTGAAGGATTAATTATCGTCAAACATTTATAGAATTTCCTCTCTCATGTGATCGTTCTATGATCTCGCTAAAGACACGTCGTACTATCACAGTCCAACTTGAAATGTTCGATTCCATTATTTCACGATAACCTACGTTTCAGTACGTCTCGTTAGAATAAGATAGACAGAATAATTTCTCCATGCAGGCATCAGACTATTATAAAAATACAGACGTGTAATCGTATCATTATACAACATGGTATGTATACCGTAAAAATTCCAATTCGACGAGCAGAACATCGCGATCGAAAAACAATTCTAAGTAAAGCTTCCTCGTTTTATTTCATCATGTTTGTCTGAACGAACGATTAATTCTATCCACCAACTGCTTCGAAGCATCCACAATAAATCTATACTCTGACACCGACACCACTGTCACCTTTTATTTCCGAAACGAGCTCGATGGTAGGAGTGCAGATTTCTGTAGGTGTCGGTGAGGCGAGCGGGGCCAAATGTGAATTCTTAATAGACATATCCTTTAGGATATAGTCTACTCCTGGTTTGACGCGCAATCTATTTCGATGTAAAGATGGCTCTAATCTCAAAATCGCACACGATTTCGTCGATAGACAACCGTTTCGAAACATCGACTCCGTGGACTTGCTTTGCAGATCGTTCTCGATCGCTGACTTTTTCAAATTGATCGTCGATCTGGAATTATAAGGAGACAGATTGTGTTCAGAATCAAGCGTGAATTCTTCATTTTCTTCGAACGATGTGAAGATTTCTGAATCAGGTACGGATGGAGCGCTAAAGAACGACTCGCGTAACGACGATGTCAACGCGTCCGGGCACATAAATGGATCGAGGGACGTCAGATCGTTGAGATCGCTGCCACTGTTACAGACTTGAAAATTGTTCACCGAGTAGGACGAAGGAAACGCCTGATGTTCAGTGACTACGTTGGACAGGATCTCTTGGCTTCTCGACGACTCTGACCACTTCGAGTCCGAGGGTCTTCTTGAGCTGAATCTCGTCGAATCGTGCTCAACGAAGATAGGGTCTGGTAATCTCCCTTCTCGACACCTTTCTGAGTTTTTCAACAAGGCTTCGAATAGATCGATGGGTTCTATTGGTGCTATTTGACCCGACAATACCATATTATTTGAGGAACTATCATGACTAGATTTGTTATTGATTGATTCGCGGTCTTCGCTATAATCTTCAATATTCAACAAGACGGATGGTATCACAGGATCTGAGTGTCTAACTGGACTCCTCCTATTACCCATCGGAGATTTTAAGCAATCGATACTAATGGAAGGCTTCGACGTTTCAGAGTTCTTCGTGTCTTCTTCTTGTAGAGGAGCAAGAGGAAGTGGATCTATGGGACTCGGTGGTTCCGAGTGTATTGTCGGTACTGCCAGACTCTCCATGACTCTGTAAGGCTCTAACAATCTTACGTGCGTCATCGGTTCGATGGTATTGATCGATTCGGAATGTTTCAGTATTTCCATGTTTCTTCGCATTTGTAATACTTTGAAAGCTGGATCTGTTCTGGGCTCCAAGTACCTCGGAGTATTATCCACATGAACAAGATTGGCTAATTTGTTAGAAGTAATTGTTATGTGCTTCGGAGACGTCTTCTGCCTTGGACTATCCAACAAACTCGACATCGTACTATCCGGGGTGGACGGCGGCGTATAATTGTTCTGGAGTCTGAGGTTTAGATTCGGACTGTTTCGATCGAAGGGACTATTAATCTTCAACCGCGGTCGTGGATAAATTTGAAGACGCTTCTGATTCTCCAATTGTCGAGATAGCATAACGTGTTTAGCCAATCCACCCTCGTACTTATTATTGTGATCCAAATTCTGTACAGAGTATCTATGAGCTTCGGTGGTGTTCCCACCGGTTGGAAGTCGAAGATTCACCTCTGAAGAGATTGCAGTCGCCGATTTGATATTAGGATCAGACATCGAACAAAGATTCGAATTTCTTCTTTTGCAATTGATAGGACTCAAACCGTTATGGAAATCTTTTGTGTGCACTATGGGACTGTTAGCACTTAGCACGGGATCCGACATAGTATTCATTTGCAATACTTTGCGATTCAACGTTACGTCGCTCTTTAAATTCTGATAGGAGATGAACTTCGGTTCCGACGCCTTCGAAAAATTCTTACTAGCGAGCCTCTTGTGATTCAATCTTCTCAGGTGTCTAATTTTATTGAATGTTGGATCCAGAAGATATTTCAGATTTTTGATCTTGTCGATATTGTGATTCGAGTCGATCATGTGATTCCGATCGATGATGTACTTTAGATCAAGCATTTTCGTGAGATCGTGGATATTCTCCTCGACGATGTCTGCTTGTCTACTCTCAGAAGACGTATGATCCATGTTCCTTTCTGGTGAGATGTCTGTGTGCTTTCCTGACACTTCCAGGCCTCGCCTGCTTGTGTACAAAGTGTTGTTTTGTTTTGTAGCGAAACAATCTTCCACAGGATGCCTTCTATCATCGTTGCTGTTGTTCACCTCGGCTAATTCCATATTCGTATTGGAACCACGTCTCATTGGCGAGCAACCGTAACGACTGGGTGTCACTCCGAGGAAAGCAGCCAGCTTCTTGGTAATCTTAACCACTGCAACCCTCATTTCGCCGTGATGGAAAGCGTAAATCCATGGATTCACGCCACTGTGCGCCATAATGGGCAGTCCAAGCCATACGACCGCCCATTCGGTAAGAATGTTGGTACCGCAAAAAATATCCAGCAGCATGCAGGTCTGTAAAGCAAATTTACCTTATGTTAAGAAGGTAATTTCGGCCTGCTTCGGTCTTTGTTGCTTGATCTTATGGGAGGGTTCTGATTTATGTCGTGTGAAACGTTCAACGAGGAAATGAGAAGCGATTAGAGCAGTTTATGCTAAAGTTTCTTTCAATTGATTTTGTTTATAATTTATACGATAAATTTTCTCCAATATTTCTCAAATTTAAGATGATGTATAATATAAGAGAGGAGAATATATTGAAGAAAAATGTAAGATTAAAAAACATTGGCTAAACTTCAGAAAATTTTGTCATTATCTTCATAGATATATGTTTCTCCCGTTCACTTGATCTATATGGATGGCGTTAATCTATTTATAACATTCAAAGGTTGAATAATACGCTTGAGCTACTTCGTTATAAATATGACCATGTAATACGTGAACTAAAATGGGAATTATTTGTCTTGATCTTTGTTAATGAAAGTTAGTAGATTGTGTATGAAACTAAAATCCATATGTATTTGAATTTTGGTGAATTTTATCTTTACATGGGATTTGAAGAAGTCATATAAGACATTATTAGTATGTCGTTCCATATATATGATTGAAAAAAGACGCATAATCTTTTCCGATGGCAAAGCTTTTATTTAGCCTGATTCTACTTTGATGTCGTTGTTTATAAATATTCAGTTGGAATTTAATAATATGATTTCATTCTTATGACAAAATACTAATAACACTACTAATGTGTTACGTATCTACTGATGTCGAGGATCTAAAAAATTCTGTAAAAATTATCACATTACTTCTGTATTAATTGTTATTAAATCATTAACAATTATTTTTGTATTATATGACTGTATTGGTCATTTTGACTTTAAGATCAAATACATATAAATTTTTACCGATAAAGATCTTTTTTATTGATATATACGCCCGTTTCTGCTGCTTCTTTGTTACCACAATTTCGGAGGTTGTGTCGTTTTTCAACCCTCTCCTTCGTGAAACTTTTCCTCGTGAAATGGAGATTGACGGGTTACGGAAACCTCATTACCACATCGATTCACGCAACATCAATCGATTGCCAATGACCCAAGGACGGAATTTACTATCAGCTAACTTTATTTTATTTTTGCTTTTATATATAAAAAAGTGAAATATCAATTACTTAATTAAATTACAATTTACACACATAGAATGAAATATTTTATTTGAAACAATAATTTTGTTTTCAGCCTAGGAGTGAACATTCTTTTTCTGTTATAATCTGGGTCGAGCCAAGTTACAGTTTGAGTATTCGTCTTCGGATGCGGTAAAATTGCAAACAAACTGTGCCTCAAAGGTTTCATTTTGCAATTATAAAACAAAAAATTTGGTTTGCAAGTTGGTGGATCGTGCACAGATGCAAATTTATTTCAGAGATTATATTTAACGTTAGAAAATACAACGAGTATCTTAGTATATTTGTTTTGTTATTAACATTATTGTTCTGTTTATTATGACTTATGATTTATTATGTAGCAAAATCAGCCTAGCTCATGTTAGGTTCATGTTACGCTAAGTTGTCACGTCGTTTGCATCTTATTATATTAGTTAAAAACTGGTGATCTCATTTCGAAACTTTTTCTCTTTCATATTTGGCTTCGTAGAGTGCTTATTAAATTTTTTACATCATTCGCGTTATACGTATTTTCCTGGGCTATGGTTTACAAGTAATACTGTATTGCAACCTTTACGGCAAGTAAACTACCCATTATGTGTTTTAATTGGAAATTAACGTTTTTTTTTCTCAAGTAATTAAAACCCGGTAACTAATAAGGGTGTAATGAAGGCAAACAAAAATAGCCAGCATAAAGTTACGCAACTAGGCAAATGCTGCATTCTAAACAAAATTTTCAATTAATTTTAAATTTCAGCTTCAAATATAACTTCCTCGAGATACATGCATCTTATAAATATAAAGCCATAATTGTACCATACACTAATCGTAACTATGGAATTTTCAATTCTTATGCAGGTACAAAGTGCAAAAAGATACAAAACCTGATTAGGAGATTACACAAAATCTGATTGAAAGAATGCAAAATCGAATGGTTAAATTACTGTTTTTATCAACATAGGGGATATATACTAATTTTAATTTTGCTTGAGATACAATCAAAGGACAAAATTGGACTGGGAAACATCATTCGATGTAATTTTATACATTTGCGATAATTTAAAAATGTCTAAATACTTATAAATATGGTGTAACGCGCAGTGTAGAAATATAAAATACAAAGAAGCATAGTCTAAGGAGAAGTACGTATTTAACATGCACACCATGACGTTCTTAAATTTTACATCAGTGTTACGTTACGAGTATGCATGCCAGGCAAAGTAGAAATAATGTTGCGTAACTCCGATGTGCAAGTAGTATGAGAGTAATAATAGCGAAACAACGCACGTTGGCGTTGCGCGTCGAAAGGAATGCTAATTTATAAGAATTTACGCGCATAGGGTGGTTCGATTACAAATGGAGATCTATCTGGTGACCGTGTGCGGTCGCATAGGAGACCATCTACTCACTTGAAAGGGAAGCCAGAAGATGAGAAACGCGCCGACCGTGACTGCTAGTGTTTGACCGTAGCGCGGTAATGCTAGGGTCTGCGTCTGGTGCCTGAACGATAGTTCTACCGTGTAAATCGCACGTGCGTGTGCACGTGCCACCAGATACACGTACATGTAGCAACCGAGGAGAACGAGAGCACTGGGTGCCCATACTGCCACTACCAGGAACACCCTTACGGGCGGGAGCACCGCTGCACCGAACCTGCAGTTGCCACTGTGACAGAAAGCAAATTAATTTCACTCGTTAGTTCAGCGATCGAGTTATATAATTGCGTCGATTCGAATATCGTTTGATTCGATGCTGCACGCGCCTGTTAATTTCCGTTACACGTGTGCCAGGTGCTTCGTCAAGGTTAAGGCCTGTTTGTCAATTCCACGAAATTTTTTTGGAAAGTGCTTTGTGATTAATTTCAATGATTTGCTTTGTTGATTTGCAATTTTAGGTTGTTTATTAAAGATTCGAAGAAATGTGGATTATTCAAAGTACTGATACAGCTATCCTGTTTAATATACAGTGGTGTCTTAATGATTGATTTTATCTACTTGGTATTTTGATTTTCAATGCTATGAATAGTTTTAAGAAATCATAAATTACTTAATATAAATTCGGGAAAAATGTGGATTATTTGAAGTGTTGATCCTGTTGTATTTTAAGATAGTAGTGTGCTGATGATTGAGTTTAACCATTTGGTATAGATCGTTCTGGAATCCTATGATTTAAGAGTTTAGGTCGATGATCGCTATTTCTTTAAGACGTTTGTTTATTCAACTATTAGATCGGAAGATAATTCTTTCTTCGACTACGTTTCATAATTATTTACCTTTACTTGAAAAAATTAACGGGGTTATGTAAACTTTGTGGATGTAATCTATCGTTTGATGTTTAATGGATACAAGGAGATTAGATTGCGTTTATTATAGTAACGCAAACACGACACGTGGCGCGGTTAAAATAACATTACTCTATATTGGTTGGATAACCATGCAATTCATGCTTCAATCCGTGACTTTTACTGTAAATCATGCATATGTTTCCTGCATATTGCATCGTAATCCTATTATGGCATGGTTGTAATTCAGGGACCAATTGTCGATCCCAATAAGCCATTGCGTAAAAAAAGGAGAGTGATAAATCTTAATTTAACTGATAATTTATTATAATTACAGAATTGATTATGTGCATATATTTAATTCGTGTACATTTCATTTTTATATTCGAAAGAATCTTTCTATTCTATTTTATATTACAGTAGAGCTACAAAATTGTAACACGTAAAATGAAGACAGAATAGAAAATCACAGCACGCATGCATCCCTAATGAACTTTACATTTTGTTGCGTTTCGACGAAGTATGTAAAAAAAAGAAGTAGAAAATTAACTACGTTTGTTTATAGGAACAGAAATTGGCCTTGCTATTTTTTTGCACTGTCGGTGCAAAATGTGAAAAAGGCGCGGGCTCGATTGGAACACATGATTGTATTTCCTAGTTTTATACTACTGTTCGTTCGACCCGTCGGTTGTTTGAGGAACGTGACTAGTGAGCAATCTGATTTTAGCAATTTTCGAAATGTTTGTTCAATAGGATTCAACTGCTGTGCAGAATTAGCAAAAGTTCCTACCGCGTGCATTTTAATTTATAACAATACTCATAGAAAATTCTGATTCTCGGAAGAATTAGTTAAGTTAGTTACATAAAATAAAAGAAATTTAGTTACAAACCTCGCGTTTTTATTTAATTAAACTTATTTTACGCGCTTTCAGAGTGAGATTTTTGTTGACAAAAAATAACTATTAAGACATTAAAATTTTTCAAAATTTTTGTACCAATTTTTTATCATTTTTAATTCAATTATTCAGTAATTTGTATTCTAAAAATTTCTTATCACCTTTAACTCACATTTATTTATTCACTGACCTTTATACTTTCACTCTTCGAATGAACATATTCTTTATATTATAAACAATGCAATTTACAATCTCTTCCAACATGAGAAAATCCTATAACATTTGAATTTAATTAACAAACGGGAATTCAAAATGGTAAGAGATATACATGTCAGAAATGAAGATTTTCAATAAAAACAATAAATCTATTTGTTTTCTTCACCAGGTGTATAATCTACCATTTGAACGATATTGATTTTCAGCGTTCATCATCTTTACAGAATTACTTAAAGAATAAATTAATGTTTATAATTATTAATTATTGTAATTATTATAAATTAATGTTAATAACATTTATTTCCATTATTTAAATTTATTGTATTTATTTCTATATTAGGCTTTCATCTTGATAAACATAATTTAATTAGCTCATATACAGACCTACAGATAGACCTACATGCTCAAATAACTTATTCTATCACTTACAACATTTTTCATCGTGAATTTCCACATGGAATTTATATCCGTTTGACCATTTCTACTAAAAAATGTTTTTGCTATTTACATTGTTTATTATATCGGTTCATTAATGAAACTAAAACTAAAAGAAGATTGCAGCGGCTCTCACCTGTGTGGTTGAGTTTCTCCTGGTATCTTGGCGTAGATCAAAGGCGAGAGGCCGACAATGATCGCGTAGATCCAGAACACGGCGATGTACTTCTCGATGCTGCTGTGAGTGATGATGTTCTTGTACCTGAGGGGCTGTGCAAGCGACGTCAACCGGTCTACAGCGATTGCCACAGTCACCAACACGCTCACGCTGCACAGTGCAATCACGATGCAGTATGGAACGATGCACAACGTGGAAACGCCATTTTCCGGCAGCCCAGATAACTCTAGATGCATCCCAAAGGGCATGAACACACCGACCTGCGTGCAAGTAATATCCGATTTGCATATGCTGGATGATTAGAGGCGAGAATCATCTCTACGACCTCTTCGGAACTTACTCTATAAACAACAGACATTGGGCAAAATGAAAGTTTTATAATAAACGTACGTATGTTTCAAAGCGTTCCTTAACGTTTACGCTTGCAGTTCGTGTAGAACGTAAAATTAAACAGAGTCCAAAGCCATTTTCAGTAGTAATATTGCGAACATTCTCTAAAGAGGAATTATTCAGAGAGGGTGAGTTGCTGTATGTTGGGATATTATAACGGAGTGTGCTTTAGGTCATTAGTAGCAGGTGACAACGTATACGTGGTCTGCTTCTAGGTTGAACTGTTCAAAACAAACTATTTCGATGTAGGATCAGATTGTAAGATCTCGTTCGTTTCGATATAGTCTATGATTAAGTATAAGAAAAAATGCCGTATCGATAAAGGTTTATTATGTTGAGCCAGAGTGACTTGAATTTTTTTATGAACCATCCATAATAACGTTTAATTATCACGATTTATGTTTATGTTGTCTGTGTTTGATTTATTATATCATATAAATTATTTGTATTTATGACATACATAAAATATAAAGGAGTTTGATTGATTAATTTTGAGTAGTCCTGTATACTAAAAGTGAAACGTGTCAACATCAATCGCGGCGGAAGGACTATCGTACGAGTTGCAGCGGGGATAGAATCCTCGCCTCGTCCCGTTTTCTGATTGATTAGCTGACTAATTAAAATATCCCGTTAGACGATCAATCTCGAGAAACAATGGGGCACTTCAATGTTGATATCTCCTTTGAAATGGATTCTAATAAAAGCCCAGCATTGACGATATTGATCTATAATTCTTTACATTCTATTTTTAACTTGATTAAGTCATTTAATTTAATTAATTTATTATTGAATAACATTATTTTATCGACAATATTTGAATACTACAGGCGAAGAACATGATAAGTCAAATTTCCTGTTTTTTGTCAAAATTCAGTATGTCGTCAATAAATTCTACATCGAAGCTACTTTCTTATTTAATTTGGGGATTAGATGTGCTTTTTTGTTACCATTCTGAACACTAAAAAAGTACCAATAATATTAATTGTATAAATTAATCTCTCTTAAGACATTGTGAATTTATCACCTATTTTCAAAAGAATTAGTATTTGTTTTCAGCCAATAAGTGACATAAAAGTAAAGAAAACTGTGATCGTCAACTACGTCATATTAAAATTCTTCTGTTTACTTACAGGGTGATATTAAAATTAAAAACTAAAGAAAAATATACCTGTCATGTTTCTTCTCTTATGATTTCTATTTACTAGAGAAAGAAGGATAAAAAACTGGACTAATTCAACACATCGATGTCGATCGCGTCTCAATGGTTGCCATAGTTAAAATTACTTGATGGCTTACCCCAAAGTCGCTGACGGCCAAAGAGACTAGTAGGTAATTGGATGCAGTCCGTAACCTTTTGTACCTATAGAAGGCGGCCAGGATAATGGAGTTCCCGACGACGGTGATTGGTGATAAAATGTAGACTATCGACATCGCCAAAACCACCGAAACGGGATTGACGTCCAGCCGTGTATCGATCTTGGTAACCGTCGGTATAAGAGCGGTCGTCAATTCCCCGGAAACGGTGGACGGCAACGGGTCCGTGGCGGGCGTTGACATCGTAATTTAGAAGCTTTCCGCGCGTTTCCCTTCGGCTCTGCGTCTTCAAGTGAGATTCCGCTCGTAAACGTGTCCTTCGTAGGACGACATGACGCAATCACCAGATCACGTCGATGAAAATTTCGTGAAAATCTTTAATTGCCCGATAATAACCTCGTACTTCTGGCGTATCGTTCGATGTGGAAGTCTTCTAAAAATTTTATCGAATATTATTTTATCGAAGAGTTCTTTTCTACCCCGAGGGTCATTGACATTTAAATTCCTAACTTAATGATCAGACTGTGGTTATTTTTGCACCTTCAAATTTTCTATGAATGCATAAAAATTAATAGTTTGCTAATGGCAAAGTCATACATGTTTCGCTTCTACATACTAACTTGCTAGTATGTTATTATGTTATCTATGCATCTAGGTTTGTAATTAAAAGTCTAAAATTCGTAATTTAAAAAGACAGTTGTAATTAAAGACTAAAATGAAGGGGAAGAAATTCTTCTATTTGAGCCACATTGAAACCAAACTGGTCAACTATCTATCTATCTTTTTCAGGAGTTAAACACTAATTACGTATTCTAGAAGTAAGATAATAAATGTTTCAGAAAGTGATGTTGATAGGTTTGGTTAAGCTTCTAAGTGGGTTACCTATCTTCGCTATAAAAGAGTCCTCCCAAAAACTCTCATTTCTATATTATAAACGTGACATTTTACACTTAGAAGTTGTTTTGTTCTCGAGATAAAAGAGTAATGATCAATTTTACTAACCTTTTGTGCTTTTACAGGAATCGTCCGGAGCCATGGTAAAAGTTTGACATTCGCCACTAAAGGAGAAACGTCGTTATTTCAAATCGTGTGATTTAGGGTCCTGGCGATAAATTCCTCGTGAAATCAGCATCGGTTTGGGACTATGTTTCGCATCGGAAATGGAGGCCGGAAATCGCTCGATTTGGGTAATGTACAACCTTGGCCCGTTTTCTTTTCACACCGTTTGGCCTCGACTTTTACGACTTGCGCAACATCACCTTTGCCTCGAACTTCCTGAAGACAAACATCCGCATTCTGTCACAAAATTACCTTATATTATCGAATGTTTTTTTACGGTTCGTAAAACGTCGTTCGCTTGATAAGTATCTGATACGTACGGTTACGTGCAACAATTATAGATACAGTACGTATATTTATCGTGCTTTTAGAACACGTTACATATATGAAAGGATTACTTTGTAGAATGTTTTGTAGCCGCTGTATAATATCATGCGTAATGACTAGTCTGCGGATGTTTATGTATATTTGGAAAATTCAAGAATGCAGAAACCTACAGAATGTATAGAATATACAAAAGTATATAAAATATTCAAAGTAGAGGACTTATTATAATATTGTATTTGGTATATGGACTAAATTTTTATCTAGGTTCAATTTCTTTAGTTATGTTTATACAAACATAAAAATGCATAAACATCCGTAGTCTACTATTGGCTGTTGAAGAATGAGAAAACGATAATAAAATTGAGAAAGAAAAAAGTAATTTACGTATTCCTCCAATACTTGATTATAGTAAAATGTGTAACACAAAACTCGTAGAAATAGATGTAAACAGCAATGTTCATTGTATTCGAAGAATAAAATTGGCTTGTTGGGTACATTAAATCGAGCTTGGAAGAAGCTCTAGCAAATACGAACAGCATCGATCTATCGGAAAATTCTTTTATTTGATTCTCGGTTCTTTAACGTTGCAGATAACTTGGAAACTTTTATCCGCTCACGTTTTGCATATTCGTTGGATGTTTTATCAATTGATTATATTTTACATCTCGGTCCTCGGATAATCGTAATAAATGTGTAGTCCTCTAGAATCATTGAGTTCAAAACATGAAAACCGTGATTTTTCACTTCGTTGGAAGGAAATACGCGATTGTAAATAAATTGTTTTCGACGAATAAAATTATCGTTACACTAACCTAAATTTCATCATTTGGTCTCGATGGACAAATGGACGGAAGCACTTTCACAGCTCTGATATTTTCGCACATGTACACTATTGATTGCTTATAAGTAGTGTTATTAAATATTAAATTGCATTTCTTATAAATATCCGGATACTCTCATTGATTTGAAAGAAAAGAAATGGTTGTGTGTCAGTTCGCTTAGAATGATTAAATTAATTAAAATAATAATGAGTAAAAGTTATTATTTATAATATTTTTTATGAAAAAGTGACAAACTATAAATTGAAATTACTTATTGAAGAACTTAAATATTTATTATCCCAATAATTATCGCAGTCTTTTTGTCTATCTGAAAGAAGTTTCTTTGTCTGACGTAGAACATACCACTCTTAGAAATTAAATTATCCGGGCATAGAAAGCTTTCAAAAATATCAAAATAGTTCTACAATTTTTAAATATGATTTTATAATATTTTATTTCAGATGCAAATTATATTATTTTCTAAAGCTTAATTTTTTTATCACATTGTAATATTCTGCCATACATAGCTGTAGCAATAATAAATAATAAAATCAATACAAGTTCTTTCATCCGTAATTTTCTAATTAAATTACACCGTATCGAACGTGAGAGAGTATCTACATTCTTTTTATAAAAGTTAAATAGAGGTTCCCTGCTATTGTTAACTCATACGATTCATTATTGTGACAATATACATTGTTTATTTATCAAACCGATATACACTGTTCTTTAAAAATCATCAGTGTATTAAATTCTAATATCCGTCGACTTTTGAAGTCCTTGGAACAATTATGTGCGATAGCATACATACATATACAAATGACAATTGTTTTAGCCAGCTTTTGAATATTAAACGTACTCTATTGAGTTATAATCATACTATTGCTTAAAAATTTTAAGTACTATTTTACAAGTATTATTTTACAAGTATTATTAAGTATTATTACAAATTATTTAAAAATTTTAAATTCAAATTAATTATTCAATTGATTATTCAAATTATTATTATTAAATTAAATATTCAAACAATATCCACCAACTATCCTTCACTGAGCAGTAGTGTACGTATACAGACGAAAAACATTTAGTCAGTACCTGAAGCATACACTGTTAGGTGCGAATGATACGAATGGAACAAATCCTGTCCAGCGTTAAAGAAAGTCAAACCTCATGTATACGGGCCGGAGTAGATTATATTCGACAGCACGTTTTCCATTATCTGAAATTTGAAATTCGGATATGGATGGTGTTAACGCTTTCAGAGACAAATGACCAGCGACGGGTTAACCGCACGAACCTCGAGCGAGAGAAGAACTATTTGAACTCATCAAAATCACCGTATAAGAGCGATTCAACGCGTTTCTCCTCGTGCACAGCCATTTCTTTCCCTGCGTCCGCGACGATGGAAACGTTTAATGAATTCGGTCGAGCGAAATCGGATTTCCAGATGGGGCTGTTGTCCATTACTGGCATTTTCTCGGCGCTAGGACATTGTAATTATGTCGAGTATGATGTTCTTGGATGCTTTAACGCGATTTTACGGTTATAGCGTGTTATTTAATTGATCGAGTACTCGCTTGGGAATATAATGCGTCAAGAGATCGCTGATTCCGCAATCGCCATGCCTATGCACGATGTAATGATAAATGAAACGTAAATGAATTATGGGTGTGAATTTCAGAGACAGATGGTATTTAGGAAAATCAATAGAGCAGAGTTAGAAATCTTTGAAGGTTTATAGTGGTTAAAAGGTTAAACTACTTTTTCGAGTTCTATATTACATTTACAACTGACCTTATACAATTAATCGATAAATATGATCAATGTGAGAGTTAGATTAATTTTAATTTCTGTAAATATAAATGTAACATAATTCATACCTAAAGTACGTGTCGTAATATTTAATAGATAAAACGAATCTCTATTAGATTTTATTTTTTAACCCTTTCATATCTGAAATTCTTCTAATGATACTATGTTCATAAAATTATCAATTCATCAAAATTTCATTCAAAAATTCATCATCACATACGAATTTGCACAAATATCCGCAGTCTAATAATTAAATCGATGGTAAATGACAATTATACTTAAATTTTGACTGTAAAATCCATTTCATTATAACGCTTTTCATTACATTTTATTTTAATCGAGTCATTAATTCATTTTATCCTATAATTCTGATATGTATTATGTAATATTGTCATGCTAAATATGTTTAATAAATAATAAAAAAAATGTAATAATCGGTACAACTTTTGCGGGATTTGTAGGTCATGAATACATATTTATCAAAACTAACTCTACTTCGTAAATTGTCGGTAGTTGGTTATTCGTTTCGGTTCTAGCTCAATTTCAACCCTTCTCTAGCTCGACCACTTGCAATTTAAAGCCTTTCACTTTGATGTTTAGTCGAGAAGTTGAAATTACTTTTCCAGAACTTGTTAAGCTAACATTGACGTTCTTTAATATTCAACATGTTTCTGTAAACTCTGCTTATTCCCTAACAGGACATCTTCTTTTGCTTGTTTAATAGCGTAACTATTATTTTAAAATAGGACAATTGAATGAACAATGTATAAAAAAATATTGTATTGACCATTGTATAAAAAAATATTAGTTATATCTATACTTATTTATTCAAAACGTCAATTGTCTCGAAATTCGTGAAAAAATTTCCCCAAACGCAACCTAATATAACTTTTTCTGATATAGATACCATACATATAACGAATCATCTGGAGATGATGAGGGTAGTACACGAACGACAGGTTACTCGTCTACTTCGATCGCATGTACCGTGTTTTCTCTCCTGGTTTTCTAAATTATTTTTTCATGGCAGCTTCAGTGGGCGTTACATAGAAGGTTCGAGGTCGTTTAATCATTGGAACAACTCTTCGTCGAGCAAGATGGATTTTGATGCTCGGATCGTTTGCTTATCAATCTTGCATGAGAATGGCAAATTTCATAAAACGAAGAATCGATTGAACTCCTTTGGTTTCCACCTTAAAGATTCTGGATTTTTAATTCATTTTAATGAAACTATTAATGAAACTATCCTTCTAAGGAAATGTAATTGATCATATCCTTAGCACTTTAAATACACTTTGGACAGGGTAAGTAACATAATCTTACGCAAAGATATTTCGAGTCAGGCTATTTTGGAAGATTATTGTTGTTACTGCATAGTTGCAATCGTTTTATTCGATGTTAATTGTTAATTAGGTATTAATACTAGCATTAGTACCAAAGAGAAATTAAACTGAAAGATATATGGAAAACCCAGATTTTGTCAAAATATTTTACAAAATATTATTCAGATAGTAAAAAATGTACCGTGATAGATATATAAAATTTCCATGAAAAATTGTGAATTAGTTATTTCAATCACTCTGACAGTTGTAATAAAGTGTATATGATGATAAAAGAATAATCGTCACGTTGATGCTGTATATATAGCTATATGCTACTTCAGATAAATATTTTACCAAGTATGGCTGACAACAATAAAGAATGATTCACTAATTTTTACGATGCTATCAGCACTGTACTACCAGTACTAGATCTATAACAACTACAATTTCGGTTTTTTCCTCCTATCTTCATTCTTTTTTTTTTTAATTTTTGAGGTAATTTTGACGCATTCAATAATTACTCGATACAGAAATGAATGATATTTTAATGCATAAATCTTGCGGATCGGCTTGTTGCAGTAAATTTTCAATTAAAATGATATCATTATCATTCATTTTACTAAAATAATTGACAATAAGAAATAAATTTCTATTACTTATAACCTGATACTATTTCAGACTAAAATACTTATTCTCCGCTCACTAGTTATTCCTCGACATATATAATACAAACTCTTTGAAATTCTTCAATAATTGTGAAACCAAATATATCTCTCTTATCAC